GAAAAGAATAGGAAGAGAGAGAAGAGTAGAAGAGAGGCGCGCGACGAGAGAGAGAGAGATAGAGTTATAAGACACAGATACAGAGATGCACATCATATAGAACGTTAAAATGTGAAAAGACAGGAACTCATGAGGGATTGGATATGATATCGAATTAATCGTTAGATTCCTTGCGAATTGGCCTCCATCACGCGGGAGGCTGATAGTAAAGTCTTGCTCCGGAGAATTTGCAGACGGTACATAACGTGCGATACAGAATTGTGTGCATTATGGCTGATTGTTGAATCGACACATCGCGAGCATCCCCATCGTCCAGTGTATATGACGCTAACAGCTTATTAGAGAAACAGTGCGCAGACACATGTGTGGGGTTTACAGACCATGCAAGCCGCGACACTTGCGCCTATACACATATACCTTGCAGACAGCTATTTTCGGAAACACAAGTATATATTATGAGGTATTGCCCATCGAAAAGCGGAGTGAAGTCAGTGCATGAGATCACGATAAAATTTCATCGTGATCAATAATAGCTTTACAGCCCGTCTGCTTTTCGAGTGTAAAATATCTCATGTTTATATACAATAAATAGTAGAAAAATGTGCAGTAAGAAATAATTATTGAGGGCAATGTTGCTGTACATTAAGTTAATAACAGTTTTTAGCTGCAGAAACGATTGCACAGTTCAAACCATGTATGAAAAATACTAGCAATCGCTTAGATTCAATACATGACTAAAGCAATATGCAGCCGATGGGTATATTATATTATGACTATAACTTTCTCTAGTCTGTTACGAATACGATACGCATTATCGCTATTACTATATGAGTACTCGTTAAAATTACCGGATATGACATTCGTGGCTAAAGTTACTCGGAAGACACAACTATTGGATTTTACTGAATATCAAATACACTTTAGTTTAATATTATGCTTGCATACCATATATATAAATAACAGGAATTAACCATAGGCTAAAGGCACTACTTGCATTCCACTAAACGATAACATATATCGTAAAGAACACGATACAACATTCACAGTAACGTGAGTGAATCAAAATGACAAATATAGCATTTCCTGCGAAACCGGTGTTTGCTCGAAATGCTATTTTGGGGCATTTTGTATATTGCGCCTGCCAGAGAAAATATATATTTTCGAAATTAAATAAAAAGCGTCACATGCAAAACGTGGACGTTTGCGTGACGCCAATAATGTGTAAAATAAAAACAGTGTTTGCGTTGAGTGTACGAGTATGGAAGATGCGACGAAAACAGAAGATCTATAGATAGGCTGACGAGCATTCCTACACCGTACTAGATACCTTTTGCTGCATCATGGGTGGATAGAGGGTGCTGCGCTTGGAATATATCTGGTAGAAAGTAGACACTTTCCATGAGATAACCCGACTACATCGAACTTACGACAAAGGGAATTATAATAATAAATCGCTAATACTCAGGCTACATAGGTCTGTGGGAACACAAGTAGATACACGTAAATATACACTACAGTCATAAAAAGTGTAGCAAAACATATAATAGATGTAATCTATACCAATAAACCGCATACGTATGACAACATATTACACACATTTGTGGTAACAACAGGTAAGGTATAATTTAGTGGCGTGATGTTTCCTCACGTCAGTAAAGGTAAGTCGTTTCACTCATGTCTGCGTGCACATCTCTACACACCTGCCATAGGTACAATCAAAATACAAAGTGGGCTATTTATAATTTGGCATATTATCACGACGGAAATGCTGAAATCCCTGGTTATTTTAATTGGAAAATGTGATACATAACAAAATATTTGGTATTAGTAGATTATATTATAAAATTATAAGTAGACGTACAGACATACTTGTTCGCGTGCACAAGGATGAACACATCTCACAATTTGAATCAGCATACATTTCATCCCTTCCGTGTTCACAGCTACACCCGTCTCGACTTCATGACGAAATGGACAAGTTACAAGTCGCCGCTTGCAAACACCCAACACGCGCGTTTTCCTAGCCTCGCCGCCTGGCTCAGTTTAGTACGGAGCTGCTGCTAGATGCAACCAAACCCGGGAGACTACCGTACCTTCTCTGTCGTGGAGACGCTAACGTGAGCGCTAGGCTTCAGCGTGTAGCCATTGAACGTCCAGGCGGCCTCCGGAGCTGGCTCTCCCGTGAACGGAACCTCGAACTGAACGCTCTGGCCGACCTTTATTTTGATGTCCTCCATTGCAATCGTGTTCATCTTAGGTGGCACTGCGTGATAGAATAGTAATCGCGAGTGTAAATACGCAGCGCTAGGTGACACATGCATCTTATTCCCCTCTAGTTATCATAAAGCGTATGCGTAATAATTCATTATGGATTACTTGCCATAGGATAACGAATACGCATCGTTGTCGAATCTAGATAATAACTTGCAATCTAGATAATAATCTAGATCTAACTTGCTGCGCTTATATAAGTTTACTTGCTCGTGGATTATGAGTAATACAGACAATTATCACATGAATGTTAAACATTTACCGATTTTATTCGATACGGAACAACATTAAATCACGTTATAATAGATAGGTGGATAGCACGTTTATGCAATATACACACACGCACGCACGCACGCACGCACGCACGCACTCACGCAAGCACGCGCGCGCACACACACACACACACACACACACACACACACACATATACATATTGGTGTGATTAAGTATAGTATCCGCATCATGGGTAGATATCTTTTGAGTGTTGCTGACTCACCGTTTCTCGGCTTCACGAGCAGAGAAACCGATACATCGCTGGGCTCGCCTGGCCCCGCCTTGTTGACTGCCGTCGCTCTGAATGTATACTCGGTGCCGGACTCGACGTTCGTGATCCTGGTGGCAGTCTCGTCCGCTGGAACCTTTGCCACCTTGTTCCAGTGCCTGCTGATCGTGGAGCAGGACTCGATGATGTAGTCCGTCACGGGGGCGCCACCGTCGTTCAGCGGTGCCGACCACTTAAGGTCAACAAAGTGACCATCCCAATCGGTGATCTCAGGAACTCCGGGTTTATCGGGCGAATCTGCGCAGGCCGAGACGGGACAATTACGAACATTCGATATGTCGATAGAGTATCAGTGCCCGATGCATTGACCTTTCAATACGATTATTGCATCTCGTAGCATCACAATATTATCACCAGGGGCATATGATATTGAGATCTCTACATGTATCGCTATCTCTATCTCTATCTCTATTTTAATCTCTCTACCTTTACCTCGCCTCTCTCTCTCTCTCTCTCTCTCTCTCTCTCTTCTATCTCTATTTAAACCGCCCTTACCTCGTCCTCTTACTCTCGCCTCTCTCTCTCTCTTCTCCTTCTCCTCTCTCTCTCTCTCTCTCTCTCTCTCTCTCTCTCTCTCTCTTCTCTCTCCTAGCTCGCTTCACATCTCTCTCACACACGCTCGGCAGCGCTCGTCTCTCTCTCTCTCTCTCTCTCTCTCTCTCTCTCTCTCTCTCTATCTCTATCTCTCTATCTCTATATCTATATCTATCTGTGTCTTTATCTCATTTAATACTGTTATCACTAGATAAATGAACATTACTTTCCGTTGAAAATTATACCCTAAAATTTAACAGTTGTTCCACCGAGTTAACGATAAATCTGTAATATTGTTCTCACTGTATGGTGGCTTGGCAACAACAGATCTGGTCGGATGGCTGGGCGGACTGGTCCGGCGGGCGTTGTTGGCAATCACGCGATATTGATATTCCAGTCCCTCCCTGACGCTCTTATCCATGAATTGAAGTTCCTGTTAGGAAATACAGCGATTAGCGATAGACCCGTCAAATAATATTATACTTATGTAGGAAAGTATGTATATTTATGTGCTTATAAACAGGTAGTGATAGTGGTACCCGCTACCGCTGTTACTACTGCAGAATGGTGATCATTGTTGGGATTATGTTTTAAGCTGGCGAGCTTGAAGTAATATATAACAGTAACTAAAAAAAGCAACAGAGTCGTAGCACTTTTACTTTTCAGTATCGACTAACATGTAGCTAACGTTGCACCCCCTCACACACACGTCTGTGTGTGCGTGTGTGTGCGTGTGTGTGCGCGCGCGTGTGTATATATATATATATATATATATATATATATATATATATATATATATGTGCATGTGTGTGTGTGTGTGTGTAGTAGTGTGTGTGTGTGTGTGTGTGTGTGTGTGTGTGTGTGTGTGTGTGTGTGTGTGTGTGTGTGTGTGTGTGCGTGAGTAAGTGCCGGCGTGAGTGCGTGTGTGTGTATAATACATATGGCAGTTTTCTCAGAAGAAGTACTCTCCTAGTAGAAGTAAGACAAACAAGCATGCATGAACACGAATACACAGTCGGACAGTCAGATAGATAAATAGATCGGCTACGTTGCTAGACGGGAGCACATCACAACAGTCACTATTAACTCTGGAAATCATTGTTGACCTGTTGTGCAATTTCAACCCTCTATTGCAACACACATCGCTTCACCAGCACGGCCATAAGCCAGTCTACCCCGACCATCACTTAATCCTTGCGTTTATCGGAGAAATATTAATTCACTACTAACTCACGCTATAAAAATACGTCCAGCACTGACGGTTAACCCACTATTGAAGATATGTGAGCCTGGCACTGCCGAACTAGAACGCATAGACAATCGAAGTCTCCCACACACACAGTGACACGCAGCCATCCCACGAATAGCTGAGAATAATCACAGTTGTACAGTTCCGCGGCACTTGTTCGCGACAAAAGGAAACGTTGCAGTAAAGGGTTGATTGACCGACGGTCCAGCAATGATCGTAACTAGAGACGAGTCACCTGCACTAGACTAGCGAGGAATTCCCACTCCACGTTCGCATCACGAGCAGGTGGTGGTGAAGCACGCGCTGAATCCTGGGTTCAGCGCAGGGGGTGCAAGCATCAACACAGGGGATGAGAAAAATAGAGAGCAGCACAGTGAATGCCATGCGATACTCGGGGATGGAACGGGACAAGTGCATTCTTAAACAGAGGAACGTACATTGTTAAATTCACAGGATCGGTTGGTGGTTCAGGATAGATTCATGCATCATGTGATTGGTGGAATACAGTATTCCTTCATGCATGCTGTCAATCCGCTAGTAAAACTAGCAACCTGGGGTAACGCCTGAAGACACCTTCATGCAGGAGGTAGCTACCTGAGCAGCTAGTTTACATCGCGGATGTACATGCAAACGACTAGTAAATGAAACGAAAAGAAAAGCCGTAGAATCTACTTCCCTGTTGGGTACTACGGGTACTGCAGTCTATACACACGTTCACATGAAATAATGAGTCGCGTGCAACAACGGGGATGCTATTGCGTTTGAGTAGTAGGGATTGGGAGGTTTTAGCCAGAAAAGGGACTGTGCTTTTATAGCTGACTGCGTGACGTCATTCCCAGTCTAAACCATCATCCCTGCTACTAGTGCATACACCGTGAGAAGCCGGTTATGCTGACATGCACCTCCCCTGGTGATATAAACACCAACAGATCGAATGTGTCACGTGACATTGAGCACGTGACGCACGTGACACACTACGACACCGCGTCCAGCAACACGATAAAAGAATGCGCACGACAAAATCATCAGAACATCTTACTAAATATAAATAAAGAGAACTAAACACGCGCGAAACAAATAATAACGAAAACGTATAATCAAGATGCCTATAAACAAATAAATGTAGGCCGGTTGGCATCTGTAATTTCGGAGTGCTAGAGTACGCAACTGGTGAGAACGAGTTTCAATTCGCTAGCTCACGTCTGCGTCCGTGCCCACACTCAAACTGACAGATCACAAAGCGACAGCAGTATTTAGGCAAGGAGAGTGAGCGAGTGGGGAGAACCCTGTAACCAGCAGTGTTCTCGTGCACCGGATACTCCCTTGCTAAATATAGTCACCGATATAGACGGCGTAGTAACGCGTATAACGTCATGAGACAGACCAAGCATTACACCTGTAATAATACCTTGTAAAATGTCCGGGGTTCAAATTGAGTTTGTATCTAGGATAAATCACACACTTTAGTGCTATATTCAATCATTTGTTTAGATAGAGAGACAATTATAATTAGCATTATTAGCTAGTTTTAATCCTGGCATGGGATAGGCTGGTAGGAGCGCAAATGCTATAGAATAACAATCAATTAAATATTGATTAAGGTCAGTTGCATGATGGCAATAATAATGATAATAATAATAATAATAATAATAATAATAATAATAATAATAATATCAATATCAATAGTAATAATAATAATAATAATAACGATAGCAATGACGCATTTATCGTCTTTATATTTGCGCCATATTCACATTTACGAATGGCAGTGCTACGCAATGGATGCCTACGTCTTTACCCTAGTATAATACGCCAGTACTACTTACCATGATAGACGATCGAGTGGCCAGTGTCCACTGGACGCTGCGTATTTCTTTGCGCTCGATGTTGTAGCCTGTGATGCGACTGCCGCCGTCTTCATCGGGTGCCGTCCACGCGATCTCAATGAAATCGCGGTCTTGCTGTAACACGTCGGGCCTGCCTGGCGCTCGCGGTTCGTCTGAAACGATAGCGGCACGACTTTACATAACACGCGCTCTGGCTTTGCCCTGCGATTTGCTAGACGCTAGCCACCTAGCTCTGCCCATCCAGCAGCTGTTCGCTACCGTTACCGGACCCGTGTGGCGGCAGGGAAGAGCTAGATGGGTAGAGTTACTGGCCAACAATGCCAGGGATATTCTAATTGTTAAATCCCGATTAGCACTAAGGGGCAAAAAACGTACTATTCTAGAACTATCGTCAACACCTGGGGCATGGTGAAGGCCGACAATGTGCGTAATAAAATATGCGTTAAATATCTTGAGAAAAGCCAAGGCATGAGTCACTCACCCATAATAAGTCCGGCGCATGCATATGAGGAAATAAATCTACACTCGAGTATAGTGAACTGCAGAATATATATATATATATATATATATATACATTTAAATATGCACATATACCCAGCTTTCAGGTGCGGAGGTTACATGGAGACATACCATACGGGTTCTTGGCTTTGACGGGTTCGTCACAGTTGAGAGGCTTGGAGCTGCCATTCGAATTCTCTGCAGTCACTCTGAACTCGTACACTGATCCCTCGCTCAGCTTGGTGACGGTGTAGGTTGTGTTCTGTATGAAGTTGCTCACCGTCGTCCAGTGTTCTTTACCAGAGAGCCTACGATCAACTGTATACGCACTGATGGCAAGAAAATAGAAACCATTCATCCACCATACCTTTGAGTTTCCAAGGCTTCTGTTTAGTTTACAATTGATATATGCCTTAATTTCTATAGTAAGGCCTAGAAATTTCTTGGTAATATTTTATTCAAGCTACTATAAGTTTAGTAAAGCTTTTGCAGAGCAGTGAGTATTAAATTTTATAGATCCTACAATCTGTGCTTACACAATCTCGGATCCACCGTCATCTTTTGGTGGTTTCCAGGACAACGTGCAACTCTCCTTGGTTACATCTGAGATATTTAGTGGGCCTTCCGGTGGTGTTGGACGATCTGCCAGAATCCATAAAATGTCGTTAGGTACAAATCGACGAGACAATTTTTTACACATTATTCCCAATGTTTGCCATAGTGTGAGTAGTGAAACAAGCCTAAGGATGTGGTCTGTGATGAAAAACTTTCCGCACACCTTTAGCCAAAATATTACTACTGCTACTTATAATAATTATTATCATTATTATTTTTTAAACTGTTGTTGTTGTTGTTGATGTTGTTGTTGCTGTTGTTGTTGTTGTTGTCCGAAACGCAGGGCACCCACATTGATATTAATCAATTTACGCATATCTTTCACAAAATGAAAATTCCCGATTAACGATACATATATACGATTCGCAATGCGATTCGCGCGATGTGCAGCCACTCGCCTGTGACAGTCACGTGACAAGAGGCCGTGTCTTTGCCGGAGCTGTTCTCGAGTATCAGCGTGTACACGCCCGTGTTCTCTCTCTCCGGCTGCTGGCAATTAAGTATGGTCTGCTCGTCGGCGTTGTGGATATCGAAACGGTCGCCGCTGCGCAGGGCGGCGTCGTCGGCCTTCCACGTGACGGTCGGCACCGGGTCGCCGACGAAGGGCACCTCCAACTTGAAGCTCTGTCCGACCTTGATCTTTATGTCTCGCAGCGCCTTCTTGACGATCTTTGGGGCGACTGCGAAATGGATAAGGCAAGCTTAACGAAGCTGCGTGTTGGAGCCAATGGAGGGGAAAGGGGGAAAGGGGTGATTGTAGCAGAACAGCCTGAGAGGGTCGACGCAGCGAAACGTGCGCCTTCCACCATGGCGGCCTGCGGGCGATCTACGATTGTGTTACGTTAATAGAAATCAGTGTTAAGGCGATGAATTCATATTTATCTTGTGTTAAATCCAAGTTGATTTCTTAGATTTAACACAAGATAAATATAAATTCATAGTTTTAACGAAATACAATGAACATATTTCATTCAGTGTTAAGACGGTTGAAAGGTTGCCGTAGCTTTTATCGCACTGGCGAATCGCGAAGTATACGCACCGTAGCGAGGTTTGGCAATGATTGGCTCCGACGCTTCGCTGGGCTTGCCCGGTCCTGCTTTATTCAACGCGATAACTCGGAATTGGTACGTCTGGCCCTCGTTCAGCCCCTTGGCAGTGTATTTTGTCCTATCGTCGGCAGTCTCGGCGACGTGCAGCCACATCGAACTGAACTTGTCCTTCCTCTCAATGACGTAGCCGGTGATGGGGGCACCACCATCGAAGCGGGGACGAACCCAGATTAGGTCAACGTGGTCCTTGTCCCAGTCGTCATATGTCGGGGATTCGGGCGCCTCCGGTGGATCTGTCGTTCGTGGCAAAATTAAGTATAGACACAAACGCGTAATAAAGTATAATTCAATTAATTTCTCTGCAAATAAATTAATGTGTCCAGTGATAATAATTAGGAACATCAAAGATATTTAGAAACTCTCTAGGCTTTATCTAACTTATAAACTGTAATTTCCATGCGGTTACGTTATGAATATTTTCGTTGTTGAAAATAGAATTTCCCTACCGAACGGATTCTTAGCCAGTGTTGTCTTCTGTGTTACCAGCGGCTCGGACTCTCCCTCCGTATTGACGGCCTTCACGCGGAAGTGGAATTCCTTGAGCGCGTCGAGTTTCATCACCATCATGGAGAGCTCGGGAGTCTTGCCGGCCTCGATCCACGTGCTGCGCGTTATCAGCTGCTTCTCGATGACGTAGTAGGTGATGGGGGAGCCACCGTCGTCAAGCGGCTTCTTCCAGGTCAACACTGCGCTCGCTCGCGTCACGTCAGAGACGGAGAGAGGTCCCTCCGGTACAGCTGGTTTGTCTGATGAGTAGAGGTGTGTGATTAGTGCAGAATGTTCACATGTTTACATGCTAGTCAAGCTGTTGTAACTAACAGGGTAGAACTACTGAGTAAGGTGTAGTGGGGATAACAATGTCAACGTACCGACGACCTTGACCATTGCGGATGCTTGCACCATTCCCGAGTCGTTCTTCACCGTGAGCACGTAGTTGCCGCTGTCTGTTCGCTGTGACATCTTTGATTCAACTCTGGTTGCTCCACCCTTTATCTCGAAGAACAGATGTCCAGGTAGGGACTTTCCATTAACAGTCCAGCTAGCCTCTGGTGTAGGCTCACCGGCAACGCGTGCGTTCAGAGCAAACGGCTGCCCGACCCGCACTCGCAGGTCTCGTAATCCTATCTTGTCTATAGTTGGAGGTACTGGAATAGCGTAACAGAAAACACTTGTTTAGCTTAAATGTGATTGTTGTACACTCTTGATACACGTCCCATACTGATAGAAACAGTAAAAACCGATCGTGTAATGCAAACGAATGCACTGGTGGTTTACGTTAACGTCACAATTCTTTTATCTTTACAAATAGACTAGT